ATTTATAGATTTTATCCTTTTAACAGCTTTTGAAGGCAGAAATACATCCTCACCACTTTAAAGCTGAGTTGGGGGCATAGCATGAAGTAAAGGGCTAATATAATAATAACCCTAATTCCATGGTGCCAAAGCCAGGAGTCAAAGTCCAGTTCTCCAAGTCCTAATTCAGCCAGACCAGCCTGCTCACTCGTCCACCACAGCAACCACTTGCTGCCTGCAGTCTCTCGCCCTGTTACGCAAAGCCTAATTGCAGAACCAGGCAGATATTCCATGGGGCCAATGCCACTGTGCCATCACTTTTCTGTTGCACCTTTCTGGTCGTACAGCCTCTGTACGATGTGACTTGAGCAGGCTCCAGGTGCGCAGGGCTGAAAACCACCACCCTATCTAGATTGCTCACCTTAACTCCTGTCAATGCCACACATCAAACAGGCGCAGATGTGTCATTCGGCACAGGTTTGGCACTGATCCCTTTTGCCTTCCTCCTCTGTCTGTTAAAGCATAAGAGCCAAGACCTCTTGACTCCACGTGGGAAAAGTTTGGCAACTACCAAGCCCTGGAAGTCCTTGCCAAGAGCAGCATCTGACTGTGCCTAGATGGCCGGCTGCTCTCCTAGGACACCCCGGGCTATTGCACTGTCGGCTGTGAAATTCTTTTTGTGGCTAGGGCAAGGTTGTGGCTCTGATTAGATTTCTGAGTCCATGTTATTTATCACCACTGTTGTGTGTAATGATCTTCTGTGCTAATCAAGCTGCCAGCCACCGGCACCATGCACGTCTGCTAGCAACCCCGGGAGGTGTTCTCTGAATTATTTTCCTGTGTTACAGGAAGGGGAAGATGCCATTTATGAATCTTAAATTATTTCCATATATTTGCTACTTTATTTTAGTTCTGCACCAAATAGGCCAAGTGCATATTTTGATTTCTGTTCTCTTGTTCTGCATCTATAGCCTCTCTGCACATGTTTGTAGGTCTATATTTAAAGTGTACAATTAAACTTTGCAGCAGACAATTTCCAGTCTAAAGAAACTGTTTTTTCAACTTCCTTTGCAATGCTTGGCTTGATAGTGCAAGAATATGAACCTAGTGCAAGGAGTTCACAGTCCAAAATAGGTTACACCCACTTGCCAACGCCCTGTTGTCATATAAGCCCTTCGGAACTGAAACCTGTTGGCATGGTTTAAAATTAAAAAAAAACCCAGTGAAATAAAGAAACCCCACAAGACGGCACTAAATTTCACGAGTCCAATGTAGAATAAGTCCAGAATAAACAGTAACTGGCACGCCAGAAAACGTAGTTCTGTGTACATCTACACAGGTGTATCAAAGTGCTCACGATTTTCAAAACTGAGAGGTACACATGGGCACATAAGTTCGTGTTTAACCACCTAGAGAAATGGTCTGATTTTCCAAACTGCTGTGCAATCAGCAGATTCCACTAAGTCAGAAGTAGGAAGTGAAACTTTGTATTGTAGACTTCTGGTTTTTTTATGGTGCTTTTCTTAATGAGTCTATTCTAAACCTTTTGCTAGCAGAGCCCTCCAAAAATGAACAGAGAACAATCATCTTAACTGTACTGCAATATACTCTTACAATAAGTAAAAAATGTGGTGGGAAAGACAAAGTACTACTTCTACAATATCCTGTGCCAAATCACAGGTTATACAATTTGGTTTTTTATTTGCACAGCCAACAGTGCTTTGTAGAGCAATCAGGGAAGATAATACAATCCATTTTAAATTCTCATTACTTTAGAAGTGTTGAATCTTCTTAAATTGTTTCGGGGTTAATTGAGAATTTGCAGTTTTACAATAGACTAGGAATTGTTTAGGCTGCCCTTGTTTCATATTTTTGTGCATACCTTTGTGGCAAAGTTATAAAAACAACAATAAAAAAGAAACAAAGAAATGAAATGCAGTAATGATCTGCATTGTTACTATTCTAGTAACTCATTTTTACGGGAGATAAAGCTCAGGTATTGATTAATGTTTAAATGGTTATTAAGTGGAAGGACACGTTGGATTGATGGAATGTCTCACTATGCGCTAGCATTTGCCTTTGATTCTTTTCCATACATTCCCTAAGGGATAATTTCAGCTCCTGGGGAGGTCAGAGGTGGAACTCCAAGCGTCTTCTGTGGGAGCATGAATAAGCCAAGTGTTTTCGGTATTTGGTTCTTTTTCTCATAAAGTCCAAAAGGTTCTGGTTTCCAAAGTTGTCCTTTATTTTAACATAGTAATAGTTCATAAAAATGTGGAATTTTCCAAGGACATATATATTAGGTTTTGATTCTGCCACTGGCTGCCTGAACACCAGTTTTCCTACGTATTGTGGAAAAGCTGATCTGGCTCAGCAGCCCTGAGGAGGTCGCGTTTTTCAAGCCTGAAGCAAAGTCTTGGTAAAGAACAGCATTTGTGTGGACAGCGTTGCCCGTTAGCACCTCTGAAATTAGCCATGTTCATCTTCTGTGGGATAATATCACTTTCTGTGAGGTACACCAAAGAAATTTTGAGGCAACTGATGATTTTTTTGGCAAGAGAGTTATTTCTCTGATGAATTGAGAGAAGACTTTCTGCTAAAAATTATTTTTTTTTTTCGAAGACAAAACTCAGTATTTTTTTCTTTGGATTCTCATTCTGTTGAAATAAGAGTACTTCATCAATCTTGGGAGTATAATGTCAATCTATAGAACAGTTTCTTTAAATGCACCTGTGGGTGGCATGACAAATTCAGAGGGATTCTAGAGCCCTGTGCTTTCTAAGGCATAAATTCTGCTCTGCCTCCAGCTAATCCAGTTATAATGGATACCTGATGTGTGGGCCAGGAAAATATGTCTGCATGTCTGTCCTGTATTTCTCAGGCCTGAGTACCTGTGTGTGCACTGCTTCATTTATGCATGAGGAAACCAATTTGCCCAGAACTTTTCCCTTTTTAACAATTAATTTTTCTTCCTGCT